GCTACAATAGAATAGATTATCAATACCCTGTACATTACTTTTTAAAATTAATTCTTGTGCTGAGTTTAAAGGTAGTGAAATAAAATTTATCGAAAAATTTTATTGTTCCCTTAAATTTATTCAAAATAAAATTGCTGATCTATTTTAAATATTTATTTTACATAAAAATTTCGTTATTTCAAATGCAACACTGTGTATTTTTTAAAATAACTCGAAGCAGATTAAATTGCTCTTTCAAGCTATATTAGGGTTTCCTATACCTATCTAACTCAGATTTTGAATCAAAAACAATTTTTCAATACAATGGCTATCACGATGGCTGATGTCGCAATGACAATTTTCTAGTGACGGTAACAGTTTTCAAAATCGACAATAGTTTATGGACATTATTATTTAGATTTTATAGCAGTTCATTTAAATTTACCCACAATAGTTTAATAAGTAAGTATTCATTATTTGATCAAGAAAAAAAAAGCAGTATCTGCTGACGGAACGAATGGACATGTTACTATTGATTTAAAAAATACTACTAAAAAAACTACTTGTTCTATTTCGCAGAGCTGGTAGTGTGGTTTATAAAAAAAAATATTAGGCAGAAACCTATAGTTGGAAGTGAAGAAAATGAGATTGCTCTAATTGACTCTTTTAATATATGGAAAATCCATATATCTACAAGTCATCGTAAAATAAATCAAAGGACTATTTCTTCGTTTTTCTTGATAGAATAATAAAAACATATTAAATAAATATTATTTATTAAACTATTGTAGGTAAATTAAATATAAGTAAACTGCTATAAATTTAAATAAAGTCCATAAACCAATTTCGATTTTGAAAATAGCTACTGTCACTAGAAACTTGCCATGACGACACCAGCCCTTTTAGTCGGCATTTTATTGAAAAATAGCTCTTTATTCAAAATCTGAGCTAGATAGGTATAGGAAACCCTATATAGTTTGAAAGAGCATTTGAATCTACTTCGATTTATTTTTAAAGATACAGGGTGTTGTATTTGAAATAACGAAGTTTTTATGTAAATAAATCCTTAAAATAAAGCAGCAATTTTTGATACCCCTGTATACATTAAACGAAGCAATCAAAATTTTCAGTAAAGTTTATTTCTCTGCCTTAAAAGTCAGCACGAGAATTAATTCTAAAAAGCAATGTACAGGGTGTTGACAATTTTATTTATTATAGCATGCATATTTAAATATCTTTAAATTTCTCAAAAACCAAATCTTGTAGACATATTTAACCCTTATAATAAATGCATTAATTTGAGTCCAAAGAACCAAACATGAAATAAAATACCGGGTGTTCCATAAGAACAAATATAACTTTGGTGTGGATATTAGATCCAACATACTCTGTATGTGCAGGGTGGTCGAAATTGGTCTGTTTTAACAGAGAAAACCTATTTCCCGACTATAGAGTAAAACGGACATAGATGTCATGGGCTTGATTTCTGAGACATGTTTAATGGCCGCCTCTTGATATCTTTACTGCCAACTGAGATACAGGGTCTTTTTGAATTTTTTACCATTTGGAAAATTGCCCATAACTTTTGTATTTCTCGGAATAATAAAATTCCGTAAAAACGTTCTTAAGGCACTTTTTTAAGCACAATCCAGTGGCGTAGTCAGTTTTTTTCTATACTTGCTGTTTTTGTCAGAAATAATAAAAAATATTATTTTTTAAATGGAAATCATAGTTGGCTATGAACTTAAAAAAATTCTGGCGGTTAATCCTTTCCAACGATGTAAAGATATGTGTATTTATTTCTAAGAATGAGAGAAATATTAGGTTTTTTATCTTTGTATCGAAAAAGGCCTTGATTTTGTGTTGAGCTAGTTGCCTAATTATTTTTTATTACAATTTAATATTCTATATTATTATTTATCTGCATAATTAAAGCATTTTGAAAAGGTAAATCAACAACTTAATCAACAATTACAATTAAAACGCCAGGTTTACAACTGAACTATTAAATGGAGAATTTTGAGAGATTTGGATTGAAACAAGGGGCCCCATATCTTAGCCTGCTAGGTCCTGTGATTTAACTCCTTTCGACTTTTTTATGGGAAATTAAAAGAACTTATATATAAGGGAAGAACCATTGGGACGAGAGAAGAATTGCAGAAGGCTACTAGGCAAGCTTTTGGACTTATTACACCAGCTCACCCAATAAATCGGTATAACTCTGTGCGCAAAAGATGTTTATTGTGTATTCAACAAGGAGATGCTCAGTTTTAACACCTTTGATGATTTTTATTTAGAAAACTATATTCGTCACTTAAAAATTTTTAGTTGTGTTCTTTGTTTATTGTATCGATTTCAATTGTAATTACTAATGCTAATATAAAATGTTAATTTACCTTTTCAAAAGTCTTCAATTATGCAGATAAATAATAATTTAAAATATTAAATTGTGATAAAAAAAAATTAGGCAAATAGGTCAACACAAAATCAAGGCCTGCTTTGATATAAAGAAAAAAATATAATATTTCTCTCATTCTTAGAAATAGATACCCATCCCTTTATATCGTTGGAAAGGGTTAAACGCCAGAATTTTTTTAAGTTCATAGCCAACTATGATTTCTATTTAAAAAATTATATTTTTTATTATTTCTGGCAAAAAGAGCAAGCATAGAAAAAAACTGACTACGCCATTGGATTGTGCTTAAAAATGTGTCTTAAGAACGTTTTTACGGAATTTTATTATTACGCGAAATACAAAAGTTATGAGCAATTTTCAAAATGGTAAAAAATTAAAAAAGACCCCGTATCTCAGTTGGCAGTGAAAATATCAACAGGCGGTTTACGCCATTAAACGTGTCTCAGAAGTGGAGCACATGACATCTATGTCGGTTTTGTTCCATCTAGTCAGAAAATAGGTTTTCTTTGTTAAAACAGACCAATTTCGACCACCCTGTACATTTCAAAATAATTTTGAATTATGCACATTGCCTTCTACATCTCTCTGTTTTCGTATAATCGGTATAATCAACCGAGGCGAATGAGGTGCGCTACCCTGTACACTACGATGAATGTGACAATAATTATTGTTAGAGGTCCTGTAGAATTTTACATCTATTACCGTATAGTCGAAGGTTCCACACAAACAGTAACACCATAGGTATAGGGACATTAACACCTTAAACTATGGTAACACCATGATAATCTAATCTGAGTCAGTTCACAAAAAAGGGGTTACGTAAGAGTACGAAAAATATCTATTATTTAATAAGAAACCAGTTGTTGCTGTAAACTACGTAGGTATATTATTTTCTTCTAAACAACATTATTATTTGAGAGATCTTTTGTCGAGGTTTTGCTAAAAAGTTGCTATGTTTGAATAAACCCTGATGTTCTGTTTTTACTAATAAGTAGAGCAAACACTATGATAATTTAATCTGAGTCAGTTCACAAAAAAAGGGTTACGTAAGAGTACGAAAAATATCTATTATTTAATAAGAAACCAGTTATTGCTGTAAATTACGTAGGTATATTATTTTCTACTAAACAACATTATTATTTGAGATATCTTTTGTCGAGGTTTTGCTAAAAAGTTGCTATGTTTGAATAAACCCCGATGTTCTGTTTTTACTAATAAGTAGAGCAAACACTATGATAATTTAATCTGAGTCAGTTCACAAAAAAAGGGTTACGTAAGAGTACGAAAAATATCTATTATTTAATAGAACCAGAGATTATAAGAGATTATTTAATAAGAAACCAGTTATTGCTGTAAACTACGTAGGTATATTATTTTCTACTAAACAACATTATTATTTGAGAGATCTTTTGTCGAGGTTTTGCAAAAAAGTTGCTGTGTTTGAATAAACCCCGATGTTCTGTTTTTACTAATAAGTGGAGCAAACACCCTCTATAACAAAAATAGAACACACTGGTCTGTACTAATATTTTTATTCAAAGGTTTGTACGTTGTTTTTTTATACTAATTATTAAGTAAATAAAATGTTAACTAATGTTTAACTTGTAGCAAGTGTAATAACGTGGGTATGTCACTTAAAACGTCGCCTTTTTTCAGAATAAAAAATGAGAACATTAAATATCATTACGTGTTTCTCTACCGAACGATAAAAATCTACGCACGATATTTGTCATTCAAGTCATACCTCATAAGTGGACAATTTGAAATTTATCATCACGCGGCAAGTTGTTATTTTATGTACGGTCGATAACATTATCCAGTTCTATTAAAAATTTTATTACTAAAAATAAACATATCGATATAGACGAGAACGAAAAGTAGTTAATTATATATTTTTTCTTCAAAATAATTGAATAAAATAATAGTTATTTTTTATACCAGACGATAAGATGGTATTTTATCGAGACGATAATGTCAATTACAGGACAATTTTATCGTCGTGTATGAAACAATATTTTTTTCTATAGCGAGTTACGTTTTAAAAAATATTCAGAAATTATTATTTCAAGGAATTTATTACGAGCACAAAAAATATTGTGCTGGATTGGCGTTGGTTTCTATGTAATTTGACAGATAAATAAAGCTGTCTCTTTAGTTGTCAGTTTTGAGTCAATATTTTTTAATTCTTTTTCGTGTCGATTGCTGATTGAATTGGAGCCAGAAATGGCTCAAAATGAAATAAGTAAATTACCAACAGGTATTCAGGCTCAGGCGACAAACGCCATATCCAAAATACTTCCATTTAAATCCCGAATATCTTATGAAAAGGAATACAACAATTTTCAAAAATGGAAGCAATTAAAAAACGTGCGAGAAGAAAGAAACTTTTTAACCTATCCTCGCTGTTAAAGTATCATTTAATCTACCCTTGCGGTTAAAGTACTATTTTATCTACTATTTTTGATAGATATAAGGCAATTTTAACAGTTGCTATGAAAAAAAAATAATCAATACAAATTTAAATAAGGGGATAAAAAGGAACTTAGTGTAATTTTTCGTTAGGTTTTCTAGAGAATTTATTTTAATAAATTGTATTTTGTTTCAGATCCTCCCGAAATTATCACTAAGCCTAGAAATCAACAGGTCAGAGCCGGTGGAATAGCCGGATTTTACTGTAAAGCGAGAGGAAACCCTTTGCCACAGATTCAGTGGAGGAAAAACGGCAAAAAAGTATCAGGTAATGTAAATATTTCGATATATTTTATTAGAATATACAATCTGTTCTCGTTGTTCATCCAAAGTTTAAGACAATGATAGGTTATTGTATGCCATTTTTATTTATGAGTAAATTCAATTTTATGTCATTTTTTGGATGTCTTCTGTCGAAATCTACTCTGACTCGTTGGACAGACTTTACTTAAAGATTTTAACTGTGTTTGCTATTAATATTTTTTATAATAGTAATTAAAAGTTGTTAACAATATAAAAATAAATTGTGAATGGCTAAAACGTGAATGATACAGCGATCCATCTTCTACTTATTTAGAAGCTGGATAGTCCGACCGAACCTGGATTTTTAGTCTCGGCCGAGACCGAGACCGAGAAAAAAAGAAATTCTCAGCCGAGAACGAGGCCGAGACACGATGCAAAATTTATTTAATAGTTTATTATATGAAAAAACATCTGATAATAATGTAATAAAAACGTTATTTTCATGCAGAAACAATTTTATTGGGATTTAACACTATAAAATTATCTACTAATACCAATAAAATTACATTTTTTAGTCTGTTACAGGCTAAAAAAGTAATTGTTTAGCATTGCATCCTTTCAAAATATGCAGTATTTCATCATATTCTTTCTAAATAGTTGTTTGCTAGTGACACTTGATGGTGGTGCAGACTAGAAATTTATAAGCTGCTGGTTTCAGAACTCTGTACTCTGTATGAAGGTGAATAATTACACATACGAGTAATTCATATAAAAGTACAATGCTGTTAAATTTATAAAACCTACATTAATAAGACACAACATCTAACGCAGGTACATGTTGCTAAACTTTACTAAAACGTGGTGTATTATGCCTGAGATCGAGTGGCATTAACCTTTTCAATTTCTCTGAGAAAAATAAAAAGAATTGACGGATTGATATGACAACTTCGCCAAAAACACGCCGCCGCACAGTGTGGTATTTGACACATATAGTTGATCGAAATTTTTTTATGTAGACCTTATATAAATTATTGCTATTTTCAATTAAAGAGGAAATAATATGACCAAAATAAATGATAATTCGTCGATTCTAAAAAAATAAAGAAAAATCACTGTTCCAGTGTTTCCACGGTCAATGCCACTGATGCCAGTAGTAATATCGCAACTAATACTACTAATGCTACGACTGATCCGCGAGCAATGCCCATATCACTAAAGTCGCTACTAATGCCAAATTGTGCTATACTGCTAATGGCACTAATGCGATCCCTTTGTACACAACAATGCCATCGCGGTTTACACCTTGCATTAGTATATCACTGATTGGCAAATTACAGGAAACCAAGAATGTTTTTCTCATTTTATCAGCAAAGTCTCAAAAAGTCGCAGTATTTTATTTTACTGTATGAAAGCCCAATGTTTACTAAGTAAAACGTATATAGACAATATGCTGAATTCTTCGAAATGCGCAACTAAATCTCTAAGTATAATAAAAATGTCACAAATTTAATCAAATTTTCTGAACGCCTAACTTTTAGTTGCAAAAAAAATCGTTAGTATAGAGAATATCAAAATAAATAATACGTTTTTGTAGAATGCATACCTGCAGCTTGCTGAGCCATTTTCAATCAAAACAATAATATAAATATAAAAAGAGCTCAAGAACAACAACAATTTATAATTTTAAACATAAAATTTAGCCATTTTCCTCTTATCTGTGAGAAGTAACAACTTTGACGTTTCGTTGAAACAAATGAATGCAACTAAACACACCCATGGCAACGTCATTCATGGCAGACATGATTTAACTTATCATTTATCTTTTTTTTGGAAATCTTAAACACATTTGCTTTTTCGAATTTCGATCACCTTTTTCATGCTAATACCCCACCGTGCGCCGTTATGCGCTTCTCTCAAGTAGTTTTCATTAGACAGACGTTATTTTTGTGTGTTTGAATAAACTTTAGCATTTTTAATTGATATCTACCATGACATCTGAAGGTTTGACGTATATTTTACCGGATCAATTTCGATACAGTGTAAAAGAAGTTTTGGTTTAAGGTAGCATTATTTATGCTGAACTAAAAACAGCAGAAGATGCGACGCATGGATTTCAGAATTTTCGCGACTAAATTCATTTGCCTGGATTATACGGCGAACTTTTACTTTGTTTTTCCGTATTGGACAGGCTGTATGGAGGTGGCTTTGGGACAAAAATCAAGCAGTTTCCATAGAAGATCGACCATTATTATACAGGGTGGCGCACCTCATTCGCCTCGGTTGATGTAGAAACAAAATTTTTATGGTATATATGTAGAAAACAATGTACATAATGTGGCTTATTTTGAATGTACAGGTGTGTTAGAACTAAGATCCATACCAAAGTTATTTTTTCTTATGGAACACACACACCCGGTATTTTATTTTATTTTTGGATTCTTGGGCATAAAATAAGGCATTTATTATAAGGGCATTATATTTTTAAAGACATTTAAATATGCATGCTCTAATAAAAAAAAGTTTGTCAACACCCTGTACATTACTTTTCAGAGTTTATTCTTGTAATGACTTTGAAGCCAGAGAAATTAACTTTACTAAAACAATGTATTGCTTTCTTAAATGTATACGAGGGTGTATACAAAAATCCAAAATGAAATAAAATACCTGGTGTGTGTGTGTTCCATAAGAAAAAAATATAACTTTGGTATGGATCTTAGTTCTGACACACCTTGTACATTTCAAAATAATTTTAAATTATGTACATTGCCTTCCCACATATACCTGTCTGTGTTTCAGAGACGCCACGGCACACGGAAATCAAACAAACAATTTTCCAGAAGTGTCAGACTAATATTTTTATAAAATAGGCGTTTTCTTAACATTTCACGCTGGTCCTAAAAGACGATCAAATATTAAATAGGATAATTCTGTGGTCATTCCTAAAATCAAAAATTTTAATAATGGCGTTTATAACATGTTAGTAATCTGCATTGTCCTTAAAACATTTGCATGATGCTGGAAAGAATATGGCAGAATGTACCACATTTTAGTCAATGGTTGGCAAAATGCACCAGCGTTTAGTCTCAACCAATGAGAGCAGGGAAAATCACATTATGGACTATATATAATGGTATACATTTTGCTTAAATGCGGCCGGTATTGATTATGCTCATATATGTTACGGCTAAGGTCCGATATTCGGTTAATATCGACATTACCCGGTTAATATCGAGAATAACAGACAACAAATAAAACAAAAACAAACTCCAAACCCAAACATTAACTTGTTAATGTCGACACTAACCGGACATCGGACTTTAACCGTAACATGGACTTTAACCGTAGAATACTGCTAATTCACAGACTTGCGATTTTTATTTGTTATGTTCAATTTAAAAATCACAAAATATCGAGGGTGTTCTATTTAAAATAAGAAATTTGACAGCTATTTTCGGTTAAACAGAAAGTGCCAGAATGTGGAGAATAGAGTAAACCCTAAAGCTTCATTCAGAGCCTCGAAATTAGTGGTGTTAATTAGCGTAGGACCTTGTTCCTCTAATTTCAATGTAAGCATTCAGAATTCAGTCAAAATTAGCGAGTATTAATTTTCCAATTAGTAGAAAAGTTAACAAACCTTTAACTTTTTTCCACTAATACACTTCAAAATATGCGAGTAATGTCATTTTGGCCTTTTGATTATTTTCCGTCAAGAGAAATTATGGTGAGAAATCAAATGTTTATTGCTTTCTCTGTGGTTACAACAGATTGACGCAAGCTTTTGTTAGGATACTCTATTAATTTTAATTATATTTTTTAGGCATTGTAAAATGATGTAACCATTAATTTATTCCACTAATTACGAGGTTCAGAATGAGGATTAAGAAATAGTCTTAACTTGAAGCATTTAAATTTCTATCTAAATGAGGTCCTAAAAGTATTTTAATGAGGGGCAACCGATTACGTCGAAAACCCGATTCCCGATAGATAATCGAAGTTAAGCGACATTAGAGGACGCGATAGGATGAACAGGCTGTTGTTCCATGGCAAAACACACATTGCTCACGCCGGCGCTGGTTTGAGGTCGGATGAGATTGAATATCTCGTAATTTAGAGTCAATTTAGACACTTGCCAAGTCGGTAGGCCATTGACAATGATATGGCCGAGGACCGTAGTTCGAAACTCGCGTAAACAAAGTAGACCCCGTCTATATTAGTGAAGGGTAAGGTTATGAACCAGCTGAACAAAATCTCTGTAAAACACAATTTCTCCGAGTATTTATAATATTTTTCGTGGAATTCTGCTCGAACTTGACCCTTCAATTATGCGAAGTACATGGTCATTGTGGTTAGACGGAAATTGAAAGGCGGTGTACGCCCGCAGAAATCGCGGTGGTGCCAGTTCCAACGTCAAACGGTCCTCACCAGAGACTAATAACAGAGTTTCCTCCCGACGGAAAACGTCGTTTTCCGCAATATATCCGTCAGGGAAACCCGAGAAAGAGCAGGAAATTTAAGCGAGTTAAAAAGGACGCGTTTAGTTTTCCAAAAAAACAAACTGGACAAATTGGCCCAGAAATTTGAACAATAATACTAATAATTAAAGAAAAATTTTAATAATGAAAATATTTATTTTATCTCAAAAGCCACCATAGAGTTGAGGTGAAACGTAAATTCACATTCCTTGGTATACCCGTGATCGTGATTTCTTTCTTATTCGTTGTGAAAATAACCTGTGAATGTGAATTTTGCCGTAATTGATAATTTTGACTGTTGTACTTGATGACATGATATTCTTCTTCCTCAACCCGGATTCATCCACTCCTGGATTTAGGTCTCTCCTATGCCTTTCCATGTCTCCCTCTTTTTTGCTGTATTTAATCACTGTTTACCTGCCACTTCCCTAATGTTGGTCACCCGACGTTTCTGTGGACGTCCCACACTTCTTTTAGTTTGTCTTGGCCTCCAGCCCATTGCTATTTCATTTTAGCCACGTCCTGAATTATATCGGTAACTCTTGTTTGCCTTCTAATGTTTTCATAACGAATTTTGTCTCGTAGACAGACCCCTAGCATATTACATAGCTCATTACATTACATAGCTCTTTCAGTTGTTAAGAGTTTTTTTGCAAATAATTTTGTGAGACTGGTCGTTTCCACTCCGTATGTTTGCACAGGCAAAATACAGGTGTTATATACTTTTTGCTTCAAATTGATAGGGATCGTATTGTTTTTCAGAATATGTCCCAATTTGCCGAATGCTATCCATGCTAATACGCCTTGTAATCTCTGCGTGTTGGTTTTCTTTTCCAAGTCCAATATTATGGTCTAAATATATATATTATCTTACACATCTGATCTTATTATTATATATATATATGTTGGTATCTTCAGAACTCAGTACTTTTGTTTTATTAAAGTTCATGTTCAGCCCTATCTTTGCAGCTGATAGATATTTCTAATTCATTTGACATTTTATCTAGTTCTGTGATGTTGTTACCTATTAGAATTAAATCATCTGCAAATCTGAGGTGGTTTAGTCTGATACCATCTACGCTAATGCCTTGATGGTGCCCCATTCCAGCTTTTTGAATACTTTTTCTAGAGCTAGAGTAAACAGTTAAGGTGACATGGTGTCTCCCTGTTTCACACCTCTGTCCAATACTACTACATGATATTTTATTGAATTTTATTTGAATAGATATTTTATTTCATAATTTTTAATTAACTCATCACCTTGAACAAAACTTAAAACATTACATTAAAAAAATTATATACCTATGTTATTTTTTTTCTTTTTTTTCTAGGCTTTAGGTCGTTGGGGTGTTAAAGATGTTACTAGATTTCGTTTATAATTTTATTTTCATTTACAGCGTTTCGACAGTCGTATGTCTTTTTCAAGTATTTTTAAGTACATAAAAGAACAGTCAGTTAACAAAATCAAAAAGATAAAATGTCAAAATTAAAGGTCGCAGATATCCCCATAAAATGAAAATTGTAAAAAAATGGACAATACACAGATTATTTGTTAAAAAATTAGAACCTTTCTCTGCAAAATTTTGACTAAACCATAAAATATATGTTTGTTTTAGGATCTCAAACTCGGTATCAAGTTAAGGATTTCGCCGATGGGGGAGCTCTATTACGTATCGAACCTGTCAAAGCTGGAAGGGACGATGCCACCTATGAGTGTGTGGCAGAAAACGGAGGGGCAGATCCAGTCAGTGCTGATGCAACGCTACAAGTCTTCGAAGGTAAGTCATTTTTCTAATTTTTTTTTAATAATGTGCACCCAAGTAGCCTAGGAAGGAGAAAAAACCATTAACCAGGGAAAATTAACCACTATTTGGTTGAATTTTACTTATACTTTACTTAATAAATTTCTTATAGGGAATAAAGTGCGAGAAATCTAAAAATGAGGTTGTATACTAGTTAATAATAACCTAAAATTATGCCTTTGAAAAGCAGCAACGTTGGAGTTAGCTGGCATTATTAAAATCTTTATAAAAAAAAACTGATAACCTATTGAGTGCATTAAGACTACAGGGACTTAAAGTAGGTCAAATGTTACTTTATTATAACCTCAAATTTGTTTCGAGGGTCGAAGGCATCGTTTGGTTTTCAAGTTAGATTAAAATTTAGTTGTTAATAACTTTAAATGAGACCCTATTTTTAAGGAGTTCAAATTAGGTTGAAAATATAATTTATTTCGATCTCATAAGTCGCTATTATGCTTCAAAGGTAAAAGTAATTTAGTTTTTTGACTTGGAAGAAAGTGAGACATACGGCAGGTTAAAAATTACCTTTTTTAATTTTCTCGCGGTGATTTCCGTTTAAAAAAGTTTTTGAGGGTTTATTACGTCATTATCAGTTGACAGAATGTGCATTGCCCACAAAGTCAGTAAACATAATCAGATTTTGCTTTGCCTATTTTCAATAACTTTAGTCAATTAAAAGTGATTATGTTAACAGTGAAAAGTCCCAGGAGAACAATCTCGGCTTAACTGGGGATTTCCCCAAGACGACCTGTCAAATTGCCTTTACAGTCATTGTCAACTGTCACTGTCACTCAAAGAAAATTAAAGTTTTCTGTTTTACCGGCGATACTCCAGCAATGTAGTCAAGACTTCGAGAAATGAGCTTCGACCTAATATAGCCCATTTTTTAACTTGCACCTCGAAGGAAAAATACCTTAAGCAAGAAATATTGACATTTGATGTTATTAATTTAAAGAAATCTTAACCTCATTCAAAAGAAAGCGGACTTTATGGTTTTAAAATTATGGAAAACCTAACTTCATAGACGAATACTTAAAAACACCATTAGCGGCCATTTTCTTATCTAATTTGTTTTCAAAAAATAGTTAGTTAAGTTAGGTTAGAACCTTGAAAATAACGATTTATTCTAAAATTAATTGTTGAAAACACATAAAAAATTAATGGCGCATAATTTTTAGGGCCTATCATATTTACATCTCACAGAAAAATTTTCTCCGCAGACATAATTATCTTGGGAATCCAGTAATCCACTTCTTACCAATAACTTATTTACATTTACTAGGAAGTGCATATACACATGTAGGTACTAGCGTGTACCCGCGACTTCGTTCGCGTCGAATTAATCATTTGTAATGGTGATGATAAAGAAAAGTAAGAATTTCCATTAACATACAAACTGGATAAAAATTTCTCACATTTATGTCAGGATGAGTAAAAACAATATGGCGATATTATTATACAGGGTGAGTCTTAAATAAGTGCAAATATTTTCAGGGGTGGTATATTTCGACCCCAGGAACACGTCTATGAGATTTTTTTCGCAGAAGAAAATGTTGAACATCGTGTATTTTCTTTTAATTTCCCTGTATATTTTCGAAAACTTTTTAGAACTGCCAGTTCACCGCAAATTTTCCCACGGTATAATTTCATAATCTCTGATATTACCATAGTTACAGATTTACTCTATGGTTACGGCACTAAAAGGGATGCAAATATAGAAAAAAGCCCGTAGCTCTCAAAATTTTTACAAAAAATCCATTTTTTTATATTTTCATATTTAAATAACTCGGTTATTTTGAACTTATTTGAAAAATGGTAAAGAGAAAATATGTTTCTTTTATCGAGATATACCAGTTCTGAAAATATTTGCACTTATTTAAGACTCACCCTGTATAACTTGATTATATTTGAGGGGTAGTTTTATCTTGTTGGAATTTGACTTTCGAAAAATCCGTTTGCCAAAAATAAGCTTTTTACGTCAAGCAGTTTAAGCAGAATCGTGGTTAATCAATTACCTACCCAACTTTTTGGAACACCCTGTATGATTTTTTTAAAATATTTCAAAATATGTAAAAAACAAAATAAATTATGCGTGTCCAAGCGTTTTCCCGAAAGACTAACCGTTTTTTAAATAACAAATATTGTAATATTTGAGGGGCGTTTTCACCCTTTTGGAATTTGTGGTTCGACAAACCCCTCCTTATCAAACCTCTACACCCCAAAGTCAACCCGTTTGCCAAAAATAAGCTTTAAAAAGTGAAGCAGTTTAAGCAGAATCGTGATTACTCAATGGTCATATTTTATGAAACACCCTGTATAAATTTTTAAAAAAATCTTAAAATATGTAAAACAACAAAATAAAATATACGTGTTGAAGAGTTTTTCCGAAAAACTCACCGGATTTTAAATAAAAAATATTTTAATATTTTAGGGGTGACACACCCCCTTAGAATTCGAGTTTCGAAAAATCCCTTCTTATCGAACCTCTACACCCTAAAGTCATTCCGTTTTCCAAAAATCAGCTTTTTACGTCAACCGCTTTAAGCAGGATCGTGATTAATCAATGAACAGATTTTTCGAAACACCCTGTATACATTTTTAAAAAATCTTAAAATATGTAAAATAACAAAATAAAATATACGTGTTTAAGCGTTTTTTCGGAAACTTGACCGTTTTTTAAATAAAAAAAAGTGGCGCCGGGAGGCACGTATAGCCGCCCATACTAAAATATATTAATATCTCGAAAACTGCGACTTTGACTGATTTTGATGTTATTATAAATTTTTTTGCAAATATTATTCCTAAGCTTAATTTGAAAACCGCGTTTCGCTAGCTACTGTAATTTTGGAGTTACGATTTTTTTAAATTTTTAACCCCCTCCCATACCCCCTTACCAACCCCCCATCCCCACCAAAAACTAATGGCCAGATTCTCGGGTGCCACAGTATTTTTGTGCCAAATTTGGTTAAAATCGGTTCAGCGGTTTTTGAGTTATCGTGTTTCAGTCGGCAGACAGACAGACAGACAGACACCATGAAAATATTTTGTATTTAGGTCATTTATGACCCAAATAACTCATTTTGAGTGAAATTAAAAAAAAAATTTTGCTGATCTTAATAGCCTACCATACCTATATGTCGGCTAAAAAATATTGTAATATTTGAGGAGTGGTTTCACCCCCTTGGAACTGGAATTTCGAAAAATCCCTTCTTATCGAACCTCTACACCCTAGAATCAACCTGTATGCCAAAATTGAGCTTCTTACGTTGAGTGATTTGAGCAGGATCGTGATTAATCAGTGAGTCAGTCACTTAAGAATTTTATATATTAGTATAGATTATCAATTCAAATGAGGCTTGTTTGACTGGTGAAACCAGGCATATCGAGCCATTGCTATTGGTCTGTTTCCACCCACAGTTACAGTCCGATAAATAATACGAAAACGGAAGATCCCGATGGGAAAAACGAGGACAAATCCTCGATGTAATGGAATTTTCGTGTCGATTTATAGTCGGAAGCGATTTGGAAAATATGGAACTATAATAAAGGTTTTATTTGGTGCCGTGAGTTGCGCGCTAGGTCCTGTAATTGAACCGGATCTCCTTCCCTCGCCGTTGTCTCTCCAAATGGGATTTATGTAAATGTGGCTGCGCTAATAGAAATTTCGGTTCGCGAATTAATTCGACCTGGCGAGAAACTTCGCTAATAAATCTTCGGCTCTCTTTTTTTAATTAAGGTGGGAAGAACGCCAGATAAAACTGTCTGGAGTGTGATTATTTACGAACCTCTACTTGCCTCTACGATGTTGTTATTTTGTAAGCAAATTTCTGTATGAATTCATTCGTAATTGTTTTGTAAAATCTACAGGGTGAGTTTCCTACGATGTTTTCTATGGGTATCTCGGAAACTACTGGAGATAGAGAGTCGGTTAAATGGGGAAAGAATTGCAGTTTTGTGAGGTCATAAATATGCGCCTTTCAGATTTTTGAAAAATTTCATGCCTTCCATTATAATCTACTTTAGACAAAAAGTTTTCAGAAAAAAGTTGTAGATAATCACATCCCTAATGAGTTTGTGTTCTCCGAAAGATTTTTTCTAAAGCCTGTCATTTTTGACATATGACACTGTAACGTTTTTAGTTGAGAGTTTTGGATTGGCCCACCTCAACTCGTATTTGGTGTTTGCTGACACATTGGTTTTCTTTTGTCCTCCAGAATGTTAAATGGAAGAAAGGACAGTTCTTTTGTTTATTATTGAGCCCTCGGAAGTATTTCGAGGTAGGTTTATTTTGTTTATTAGACCTTGTTTGGTTTTAAACAAGAATTTCGAATTTTAGGGTCCAAGGTATGGCCAGGTGTCACATATACAGGGTCCGGCAATAGTGCGTCGGGCATCTGTAGCTCCTAGAATAAAAAACTTGAGAATTTTGTTTAAGTGCAAACCTAAACTATGTACCAGGATGTATTTAAGGAAAGTATTTTAGTGTTCCAAGTATGGATGTAGCGTAAACTCCATGCTGCTTCGTTCCTGTTTTTTAAGCCTAATCGATAGTTACGGCTGTGTTAGTTCATGGTGTCCTCATCCTGGCCCCTTTTTTGTTGCATTGGCCGAGAGACAGTACAGAGATACGAGTCCCATCTCACGCTGTTACTGTTTGAAGCGCCTCAAGAACAATCAGCTAAGTTTAGATTTAAGTTCTGGTTTTTAAGTGTTACATTTTCAGTCTTAAAACAGTAAAGTACATCTTAAATAATATCTTACAGACTTTACGTTTAGTGGTTAAATTGTTTATGTCAGATTAGTATTTAAAATATGATTTAGATCTTGGTTTCTTTGCGAATATTACGTTTTGTAATAGTATTACTTTCTATATATCTATTGCGTGATTTTAAAGATGAATAACTGAACCGATTCTAGAATCTACGCTTGAAACATCTCAGATTTAATATAAATATATTTTAAATATATTACTCGTC